TATAACTAATTTTGCACAGAGCGCAAGCTTCCAACACCGCTTTCAAGAGAGAAGGCCATGTAATCCGCTACGCGGCTTTTCCGTCATGGAAGAAGCAAGCAGCATACACCCAAGTACTGTAGCTTCGAGGCACTCCGGGTAGCCTTCTGGAGAACTTGTCTATAAAGGTCTTCAGGCAGGCTATCAGAAGCGCAAAGCGAGCCTGTCTTATATTCTTGCATGGAGATATGTATCTGCCTATCGGATTATATGTCAGTCAGAGTAGATCGAAGTCAGAGTAGATCGAAGTCAGAGTAGATCGAAGTCAGTGCAGCATCCTACCTTCTTCATCTGCGAAGTTCAACCTTCGATTATGCAGAGGAATGTTGAACAGGAACCTGTCCAAGTGAGGACTCAGCGACAGCAGACTAGAACAATCGTTGTGCAGGAACTAGCAATAATCAAATGCCGTGCTTGTTTCCTAGCAGTTGCCTCAATGACCAGTAGATAAGATGCGGGGTAAAGAAGGGCTATTAAGCCTTATTACATGTGCAAAGTTGCGACTAACATGCATCTCCAGCTTTCTGCGTTGGGTATAGCACGCAAAAATGGGCGCGCACTAAGAGTTAGCAATTTGTGTCTGCAACTGTTTGTATGTGGCAGAATAGCAAGAGGATAAGACTCACTGGTATGCCTAGCCCGTAAATAAGACCAGGACTCAATTTAGTTCATAGTTCTAGCCATTGTGCTCTGTTGGTGCCAATACAGCATCGACGGCAGCATCATGAGAGGCGGGGTTGATTTCCGTTATGAGAGCGTTCATGATGTACTGGCCAAAAGTAGTGCATCGCAATCAAGCCACTCATGAGAGAACCGATTGACTTATTTCTAGAAGTGGTTTTACTAAGAATATCCATACAACAAAAGCAATGATCATGATAAGAGAGAACCATCGGAGGAGTGAATCAGCCGACCCACAGCAGCAGTATGAGATCATCACGCCTCCGCTCCCCTCTTCTCCCTCAGTTTGCTCGTATATAGATCAGTAACTTCCCCTCCTCGCAGTGCCTTTTCCCACTCACTAACCGCTCAGATCCACTGCCTCCTTCGTCGACAATGGCAGCCCTCAAAGGTCTACGCTCAACCTACCGCCTGAACTCCGGCCACGAGATTCCCGTCCTAGGATATGGAGTAAGTCTTCGCCCGCCCCCTCGATCACCACCACAACATTACTAAATGCAGACAGGTCTACATGATGTAAGTCAATACCTGCTTCGCTTGCATGCAAATGCTGCAGTGGCTCACCCTGCCAAAGCCCCCAATCCCAAACGGAAAAGGCCACCCTTGAAGCTCTCAAAATCGGCTACCGTCATGTATGCATGCCTCTTTTCTCCATCCTTCTCGCGCCCAAGAGCTCAATTTAACACGCATCCTCACAGGTGGACTCGGCAATCATGTACCGTAACGAGAAAGCCTGCGGCCGCGCCATCGCAAACTCCGGCCTCGACCGGTCGGAGATCTTCTTCACGACCAAGATCCCCCCGGAGAAGATGGGCTACACTCGCACCAAGAAGGCTATCGACTCCAGTCTCCGCGAAGCGGAGCAGGAGTACTTTGACCTGTGAGTTGTCCCTACACCACCATCTTCCTCGATCAAGTCTCGCTGGTATTGCGAGACACTGCAGTGGAAAAAGAGAACAACAACAACAAAAAGAAAACTAACAACGACGACAAGCATCCTTATTCACGCCCCTTACGGCGGCAAAGAAGACCGCCTGGGCTCCTGGCGAGCGCTGGTGGAAGCCCAGCAAGCGGGCAAGACGAAATCCATCGGAGTGTCCAACTACGGGGTCCACCATCTGGACGAGCTGGAGGAGTACATCAAGAATGGTGGCGGCGGGCAGATCGACGTCGGCCAGTACGAGTTGCATCCCTGGTGTGACCGCCCCGAGATCGCCGCGTGGCTCCAGAAGCGCGACATCGTCGTCCAAGCCTATTCGCCTCTAGCGCACGGGACGAGGATGGGCGAGCGAGTACTCAAGGAATTGGGCCAGAAGCATGGCAAGTCGCCGGCGCAGATCATGATCCGGTGGGGTTTGCAGAGGGTAGGTCGTGGAACGAGTCTCTTCTATATTTGCCACGTATCCCGCTCAAGTTAGTTCTAACACAATATCTGTAGGGCTTTGTCCCCCTTCCCAAATCGGTGACACCCAGTCGGATCAAGGAGAATGCGGAGGTGTTCGATTTCGAGCTGTCGGAGGAGGATATGAAGGCATTGCAAACGGGGGTCTACTCGCCCACGGACTGGGATCCGACGGTGGATTATGATTAGGCAGCTGTGTACCTGGCAGAAGAATAGTCTAGAGACAATGAGAGACAAGACTGAGATTGTTACCGTCATTGATGTAATGGACAATGATGTACTGGACAAACAAGAGAGTAAATGAGGATATGTAAAAGTAAATGAGCGGGCGGGCCGAGTCGAAATCGCCGATCGGAAGGAGGGCCGCCGTCCAGAATTTGACCCCGCGGCGCGGGGTTTGGCTGCTTAGCAATTCATCCACATTCGTCCGTTATCTTTCCTCCATCCTCTTCGCATTTCTCCAATCCTTCCAAGTCCTCATTCCCCTCTGACTCCCACCCCCCCCTGCATCCGAATCCCTGCCCTGCACATATTGCAGGGTGCTCAGAGATCAATCACCATGAAACTAATCCTCTCCACCTCGTAAGTGGCGACCCCAGTGGGAATCCCGGCACTCTCTTCTCCTAATTCCACCTCCATCCCGGCTTTGATCCCGGCCTTGATCCTGGCGATCGCTCGGGGAAAAAAGACAACGAAAAAAAAAAAAAAAAAAATACCCAGTTCACCAAGCCAATTAAACTAACACACTTCCAGAAATCTGATGCTAGGCGGCCATCCCATCATCCGTCAACTGACCGAAAAGTCCAATGTCGAACTGATCAACTCCCTACGTGCCAACTTCCAAGCCGCGCAGCAACAGCGCAGCGACGGGGCCACGACGACGGCGACAACGACAGCGAAAACAGAGCAGGGAACACCGCGCTACGCATCGTGGACGAA